ACCTCTCCTGTCTGAATGCTCAACCATTCTGCACAGGGCCTCACTTCTCATTTCAACCGGGACAGACATTACTCAACTACTTATTCGTGACAGACTACTCCCCAAATCACATTCAAAGGATAGACAATATATGGAACCCGAAAACTGGAATTGCGTCTCAGATCATCTTCTCATTAAAATGATAATCCTCCTTCCACCCGAGACTCTGACATTCAGTCAATCCAACATCAGTAGAAAGCACCTTGCTTGGCATAAATGCAACAATGTACATTTTGAACAATACAGACACCATATTCACAAGGAACTTACATCTTTATCATGCGAGCCCACAAATATCAACGGTTTGTACCATCATATAATATCCTGCACCGAGAAAGCCAGGAATGGAATGGACAGCACCGTATCCAGACACCTCGTCAACGTGAGACTCTTCACTTCAAGCATCTTCCCAAGTCAAAAGCACAGCGTTATCCCAGACATCATTGAAAAGCTCAACACCTATCTTGGAATGCAAGTTCGAGACAAGCTCCAGAATGCCCAGATTCAAGACAAACTTCGGGCCGAGTACAAATCTCGTTTAAAGAAAATCTGGAGTTCAGAGCTAAATGCTCGAAACAAGGTCAAAGCCACCAATACTTTTGCTGTGCCAGTCCTTTCCTATTCCTTTGGAGTAGTTGATTGGACAAAACAAGACATCCAGAGTCTTGACCGTCTGACCAGAAGGATCATGTCTGACAACAGAGCCCACCACCCTCGTTCCTCTCGTAGCCGTTTATACATGCCAATCAATTCTGGAGGTCAGGGTTTGATTAATGTGGAGGCTCTTCATGACAGAATTTTATTGTGTACTTTTGCACATATTTATTTATCGGATGATCCTCTGGTGATGCATGTGAAGACTCATGATGAAAGCAAGGAATTCCACAGCTATTTTAAGCGTGCCAAGGTTGTTGGACAGAATCTGAAATTTGAGGTTGACTTTGCTGATGGCGATGTACTGCTGGACGGTACAGCGATGGGAGTAAACCAGGTGAAGTCCTTCACCAAGTCTGCCCAGAGTCGGTCTTTTGTGGAGAAGCTTTCTGAGAAGCCATTGCATCGTGTGTACATGCAGTGTGTGGAACAGAATAGCAATCCCTCCGACTCCTTCGCCTGGATGAAGTCGGCTGGTCTTAAATGTGAAACTGAGGGCTTCCTTTTTGCTGCTCAGGACCAGTCACTTCCCACTCGTAATCGCCTAAATGTGATTCTTAAAGAGAATATTAACATGAAATGTCGACTTTGCAATGAATTCACAGAGACTGTCCAACACCTTGTCAGTGGATGCCCTTCCTTGGCACAAACAGCATATCTTAAACGACATGATGGCATGGCTCGCTGCTTTTACTACCGTCTCCGACATGCCTGTGGCTTTGACTCCGAGGTCCATCCATGGTACGACCCTGAACATGTCCAGGGCGTCATGGAAAATGATGCTTTCAAACTTCTGTGGAATAGGCCCATGTACAGCCTCAGAAGAATTCCAGCCAACAAACCTGATCTTGTCCTTTTTGATAAAGCCAATGAATTTATATATATCATTGAATTTTCTGTCCCTTTTAACAGGAATGTGATTGACAAGATCAAGGAAAAGCATGATAAATATGCGGACCTCGCCTTTGAAATGTCTCGCTTGCATCCCAAGTACACTGTCGTCAGGCTCCCCATTGTTCTCGGTGCCCTTGGTTTGGTACCTCCTGATCTTTTGGCGCAGATCAGGAGAGTGCCCGGGTTCTCCACCGGGAGTACAGGTCTTCTGACACTCTGGGTAATGCAGAAGGCTGCAGTGTTGGGGAGCCTTCATATTTTCGGAAAGTTCTTGGTGGGTTCGACTAGGCAGCGTTTCCTGGGAGAAGTCCCATTCGCTGTCTGGGCTGCGTGTAGAGGGGGCAAGGACCCTGAGCTGATGATGAGCCTTACCAGCCTAAATGTGCCAGGATCAACCGAACCCTCTCTGCTGCATATTATCTTTAATCTGTAAAACATAATAATAATAATAGGGATATTTATAAAGCGTTAGAGTCCACCGACGAATGCATCCTCCACTAGAATGCCGTTCCACTAGTCGATCCTATCTAAGATCAATCTTAGCAAGTTACGCCAAGTTTACAATCGTCTTTGCTAAAGGTTGCGCCCGTTCCACTTACCGATCTGAGGCCGATCGTAGCCGATCCCGATCTTACGATCCGATTGTAGCTAAGATCGAGATTCTTTCGTGCGAGAGGTAGAAAAATGCGAGGCACGAGTCCCTTTGCATAGTCTAGCAGATGATGGAGGTAGTTTTGGAACCATATGTAAACGTGGAGAGAAACCTCGAGCGAGTGTTAAGCCCATTTGTGGTGTCCCCCGCCGTGATATTGCTGGAATATTGCTAAAAGCGGCGTAAAACTAAACTCAGTCAGTCAGTCAGGCCTCGAGCGAAAAAGAGCAGTTTTACGGTAGAGAGCATTTTGGTTCAGGGGCAAGTGCGCGTGAACGCTGGGTATTTGGCATACCCATGTGGCTGAACCTTATTGATCAGCATAAACAAGGCGTGACGATGCACCCTGTACCTCGCCAAAATCACATCATCTGATAATGTATCTAGAATCTATGAGCGGTCTCGAAAAACAGGCTCACAGTGTAATGCTCGCTCTTCTTCTTCACATAGAATAATGAAAGCCGCCATTTTGGTTTCTTTACGATTGATTTTGGTGATCCTAAGATGGTCATGAGCAACTTAGACTCTGGATCTTAACTTTACGATTGACTTGGGTAAGATCTGTTAGTGGAACGGTATGCCGATCATAACGTCACGCTAAGATTGGGATTTTAGGGGTTTACAATTGGCGTAGGGCTAAGATCGGTTAGTGGAACGGCACCCAGAAGAGATGCCGGATAGCTTGGGTGGACCATCCAACTTATTCTTACTTATCCAAAACTTCTTCCTCTAACACAGCCATTTAATGCCATGACGCAGCTGCTGATGTTCCTGTGGACCGAGCAAGCAACATCAGAGGAACATGAAAACACTTAAGATAATGGAATTATTCATGTTGTGATTCGCTGGGTGAATTTATTAACTAGACTTCACGAAATGAATCCGTGTAGATCCGGGTTAGAAGTGATCTTCAGTAACTTCAGTATAGCTGGAATAATGCTGAGTGCGACGTAAAACTAAACTCACTCACTCACGAAATGATATGATCATTAAGCAATATCAATCACACATGGTACTATCTAGCGCTACCAAACCGAACAGTACTGTAGGGTCTGAGATTGCTCACTCTATAGAGAAACACTACCATTTGGGAAGTAATCCTCAATGTTAACTTAGGTTCCTTGGTAAAGACATGAACGTTGTGGTAGATGGTTGAATGTAGATATTTGATAGTTGGTGGTTGTGTTAGGGTATCTTTGTGCCTTCAAATTCACGTCCATCGTCCATCAAACCAGCTGTCACCCGGATGACGTAACAGTACAGACGATAAGTCAGACTGCTGACTAAGACATTCTGGGTCAGAATTGCTCTTCAGCAACTCTTGTTCTTGATATAAAATTAATTAAATGTCCATATATTTCTACTATATTTCCCTGGGTTTGATTAAGTATTCATGCCCGTATATGGCCTTAAAGGAAATACATTGGCACTACAACCAACTGTTTTAACATGTGTTTCTCATACGTATAGTGTGGAACCAGTTAAACCAGAATCCCATTAAAGATAAACATTGCTGTATATGTTGTTGTAATGGTGTGTACGTGGATGTAGATGCAACATTGTACACTTTGTATTTACACACGTGCGCACACACTCTTACACACGGGCACAACCACTGGCTCAAATCACTCTCTCTTGCACGCCCGAACACACATGCGGGATTTACCTGGATACTGAAGGTGATTACAAAATATCTTGGACTTATCTGTATCTGTTCGGTTGTTGACACATTTGAGGAAACCACATTGAGAAAATACAATGCTCATGCGCGATAACAGAAACTGATTCATCTGAAACCGTCGTAGTTCTTTGACACACAACTGAGCACATGTTGTATAGGTCCGTCTCCTATTCTCGCGGGTTTCCTATTCTCGCGGTAAACACGTTTTCTGCCGAAATCGCCGATGCGCGACACTTAGCGGTTGTTTACATCACCGACTGGTAACTAGGAAGTGGACCAAGTCGGTGAATGATCAAAATCTTGCAGTATCACGAATATTGGCGAGTTTATACCAACTTGGACATATCATTACTTTTTCCCGCCCTTTCCGGCAGGATTGCTCTTACATACACTCAATAACGTTAATTCCTGGTAATACCGCGAGAATCGGAGAAGCCTGGTTTCGTCAATGGCGGATGGCATTGTTTATCACCGGGCTCACGAGTGGTAATTCACCTGATGGATCTGGCAGCTGATAGATGCAGATGTTAGAGGAGAAGGCCCATCATTTAAAAACAACAAGCATTAATACGATAAGAATTGTTTGTGTTATTTTTTCAGCCGATATCCGTAAGTACCGCGAGAATAGGAAACGCCTTCCTACTGAGAGTCTACATGACTTTGACTCCGTGTCCATATACGGCTGGTACTTCGGGTGGTCAAGCTGGGCGACTTGGTTTATACATGGAATCGCATTTGCGTTGATCGATGTCAAATTACGAATCACTTCAAGACATGATTTACATACGGTCGTCATGTATCTGAAGTATCTGTCTGAGTTTGGCGTTAAACAAATAAACAAACACAACAAGAAGTGACTGTACAGCATTTGCAGATTATAGCGTTATCATATCGATAAAATGATTGCACAAATATATTCCCAACAAAACAAACTTACAGGATTTGTTTCATAATACTATACGTATACTTATCTCAACAATGACAGCTTCTAAGTCCCATTGGTATTGAGCAGAGTTGCGTCCCTTCGTCGTGCCAGAAATATATAACTATGGGTCCTAACACTTGATCAGGCTGATTACATTTTCCTTTTGAGAGCATCATACCCGCAAGACGCGTAAATGACAAACATTTGCACAGTCATCTCGTCGGGGTTTCAGCAGCGGCACACCCGATGTGACTGAAATACTGTGCAAAACAGCCTGAAACAGATCTCATTCATTCTGCTTCATCAGCCAATGATAGGCACACCCTGGGTGCACGTGTTGCACATGTGGCAGTAACGAGGGCAGTATTCACAGGCCGTAGTCGGTTCTGAGCAGACGTTGAGAGATGAGTGAAGGGAAGCACAATCGACGTGTGGGTTGTCCACGCATTGGGTTAAGGTAGTAGTTGATTCGTTGCCATGGGAATGTGCTGAAAACAAAACAAGTGTGCTTGTATCATTACAATCTACACAAGAAATGTGAAACACACGACTTTAATAAACTGTTTTAATAAGCAAGTGGTATGGTTTGTTTAACGCAGCTCTCAGCAATATTCCTGCTATATGGAGGCGGAATGTTGATAATCGAGTCTGGATGAGACAATCCAGTGATCACAATGTGAGCATCGGTCTACGCAATTGGGATACGCTGACATGTGTCAAACATGTGTCAAACATGTCAGCGAGACTGACCACCCGATCCCGAACTATGGAATAACAACTACTTACTGCAGATTCCACCCTTTAAGTCGTAGCCATGGAAACATGTGACACAGCGCGAGTCTTGGGTAGAATTACATTCAGCAAGTTGACAGCCTACACCAGGTGGGGACAGACTGAAAAATGGACACTTTGAAAATAATAACGTGGAAAAGTATGTTAATTAATACATTTTCGGCAGGTGATGATATGACATATTTCTGAAACGTCATTACCAATGAATACCCAGCCTTGACTATCCTTAGAACAGATTTCTGTTCTGTGTAAGGGGTGTATGAAAAGTATATGGATCATCACTGAAAATGATGACACGAGGTGTGCTCGAATGTATATTGGCCAGTGATACATTGGAAGAGCTAATGCACTTTTAACGTCCTAAAATATAGAACAGTGGGTGGCATATTCAGACAATTCTAATTTATATTCTAAAGAGTTTGAAGAGGCAGACCTCGCAGATCGGGCAATCAACGAGAAGCTTCATGATCATTTCTGGAAGACATCTATTCATTGTTCCATAGATACTGATCTGCGTTTAGTTTCCGTGTGGAGTTTTGATCATTGTTTTGGCTTTTTGTGTACGGGTTTCTGTTTCGGTCACTCCTATTTTTCTGGCATTGACCTTTTATGACGCTAAGCAAAACAAAGTGGAAAAAGATTATGAGAATAATTAAACATCGGCTTTCGGGGCAGCGTACCGTTTACAGGCCGAAAGGCTAACTTTATTTACCATCACAAGCTGTTCCGCTGATGAAGAAGCCTGGAGCACACTTCCTGCACCAGTTTTTTAAAGCAGCCGTCTCTGGCAACGTCTACACAGTCAGGAATCAGGCTCGTGGACGGACATACTGCAGCCAAATGAAATCAGGTCATGGACGATCTTTGCACAATTGCGCTAAATAAACTCTGTCAAAAAAGAAACGCAACCCCTGTCCTCAGATATGAAAAATTCGTTTGAATGAAGTTATTGCTTCCAAACTAAATGTTATTCGAATGTATTGAAATTATACACGTAATTAATGAAGATTACCATCCAAACAACTGCATTTGTACGCATAAGTGTATTTTATTGCTTATTCCGTCACAACGCATGAAATGACCCTCATGGTGACTTCGCACAAAAAAACCACATGCAAATCATGAAAATGGCAGTTAATGTAGGGGTGTATAAAAGCCCATGTGCTTTCGTATTATATTCATTCATTTGTCGCATGAAAAGCTGTGTGAAAAATGCCACGATTGAGTGCTGCCGACCGAAATATCGCCATTGGTCGTGTTCAAGCCGGAGAAAGTTTTGGAACTGTTGCACGGCACCTAAATGTTCACAAAACAACGATATCCCGACTTTGGAGCCGCTACAACAACTTCAATTTGACCAACGATCGCCCGAGAAGTGGAAGGCCAAGAATCACGACCCCCCTTCAAGATCGGTACATCCGGGTCCATCACCTGCGTAATCGGCATGCCCTACCAACCGTGACTGCCACACAAATACCAGGTTTGAGGAGAGTGTCAGCTCAAACGATTAGAACCGTCTGAAAGAAGCGGGTTTACGTGCCTGTAGACCAGTTGTTGGACCTGTACTACGCCCCCTACATCTCCGCCGACGACTCAGGTGGTGCAACAACGTAAGGATATGGACTTTACAAAACTGGAGGCGCATCTGGTTTTCTGATGAATCCCGTTTTCTTTTGCAACATCACGACGGAAGAAAACGTGTGTATAGGAGACGTCATGAACGTTTTGCGCCCATCTGCGTCCGACAGGGGGACAGATTTGGCGGAGAAAGCGTTATGGTTTGGGGATCCATCTCATACAACCAGAAATCAGACTTGGTGATCGTTGAAGGAACCTGACAGCCCAACGTTACATCAACCACGTATTACAGCCTCACCTTCTCCCGATTATTGACCAACAGACACAGATTTTTCAACCAGACAACGCCCGGCCTCATACTGCACGTGCAACAATGAACTTTCTGCAGAATTCCAACGTCAATGTCTTGCCATAGCCCTCTAAATCACCAGACCTCAACCCTATTGAACACCTGTGGATACTCTGGGTCGACGCGTACGTCAACGTCAGCCGCCGCCACAGACGCTGCAACAGCTCGGCGTTGCACTGCAGGAGGAGTGGAGAGCCATTCCCCAGGAAAGAATCCGGCGTCTTATCCGTTCTTGTCCAAGGAGATGCCGTGCAGTGATTGCAGATCGTGGTGCTCATGCGAGATACTGAGAAAGACGCCCCCCTGGTGACAAACTGGTGTCTGTGAGATGACTTTTGAAATGACAATTTTAAACATGCCCATCTTGGTTATTATTCTGCCAAATTTCAGACTTCTGTCTTAAATAATAAAAATGCTGTGTCGTCTAAAAACTTCAGATCAAAATCTCTAAAATACAGGGGTTGCGTTTCTTTTTTGACAGAGTTTAGTTTATACTGACTGACTGACTGACTGACTGAGTTTAGTTTTACGCCGCTTTTAGCAATATCACGGCGGGGGACACCAGAAATGGGCTTCACACATTGTACCCATGTGGGGATTCGAACCCGCGTCTTCGGCGTGACAAGCCAACGCTTTAACCACTAGTCTACCCCACCGCCCCTAAATAGTTTGTGGTTACCAGGACCGCCTCCGTGGTGTAGTGGTTAGAGCGTCCGCCCGGAGAGCGGAAGGTCGCGGGTTCGATCCCAGACCGAGTCATACCAAATGACGTTACAATATGGTACTTGTTGGTCTCTGCCTGGCGCTCGGCATTAATGGGTACAACAAAGACTGGTCGGCTCGGAGTCAGTATAATGTGTCTGAGTGGGGTATTCATGCTTCACTGCGGCATGGTATCCCAGTGGGCTAGCACTATAAAACCAGCTTCAGTCTGGGCTAGTACAAGCAGCCGCACAAACACATACACACGCATGCACGTCGTCATATGAGCGATATATTCTCAAGCACGACTTTAAACCCCAATTTCACCTCACCTCACCATGTAGTTACCATTGTGATATTTCTGATATTCATTTTCAAGAAGGAACATCTAAGAAAGTTACCATTTCAAAGAGCTACAAATGCTTGCTTGCCGAAATTGTTTTTGGTTACACGATGAAATGTATTCTCACGCGAGCGGGCCATTAGTTGCCCTGTCTAATAAGACGTCTCAAATCTCTTTGCAGAGTTGTGTCCCTTTATTATTCGTGGTTTCAGCACCAAACTCATGGGGTTCACCAAAGTGCCTTCTTCCCACAGCATACTACAACACCCTGATATAACTGGACTACTGCTCAAACCACACCCATCGCTCTCTTATCTGTATAGTAAGTTGATGAAAAGACTTGTAAGTATAACGTTGTGTTTCAACTAAAATAACTCACAGAGACACTGGCCGTCTACTTCCAGGAATCCATCTTTGCACTTGGTGCATGTGACGTCATTGGAGTCCCTACAGGTGAATTCGTCGCACATTGGGTTTGGGGAAGGACATTCTGGAAGAGCACATATGGAATTGATATGTCAAGGTATTTGGCCTCAGTGGTACATTCATTCCATAAGATTAAACATAAGCACAAGATGAACGTTAAACTTATTGTTTACCTTTGCAGGTGGTTCCAGCCAGGAAGAAACCCGGCTGACATCTAACACACCTGACGTCATCAGCGGAGGAGCAGACGTGATCACGACATCCGGCGTGGAGACGGGGACACACTGTGTTGGATGTTAAGACATATTGTCAATCGTATCATCAAAAGCTTTTGACATGATTTCTTATGAGATTTCTGTATACATTGAAGAAAGTTAGGTGGTGTATTTGGAAGAATGCGAGTTATAAGGAAGCCTCACCCTCACAAGCAGAAGCTTCCCGGTAGAATCCCTGCTCGCACCTGCTGCACCATCTGAAGAGACAGCCGACTGATTGCTCCTCCTCACAATGCAGGATAGGGGTGCGGGTTGGACACGCTGAAACATAATTCATCAGTTCTCATAGTCACTCCGGGTTTGATTGAAAAGTCGTCTTCTTAAAAACTGAGATTTTGTAGGCTCCGGAAAGGAATCGAGGTTTCGAACCAATGGCCGGCTGAGTCTAATAGATACTGTGCACAACTATCCACAATGAATTATCACCCAACTAGGCGATATTAGCATTGAAAACTGTATTATTTCTAAATTGCATTTTGTTTTCAATTATATTTTGAACTTACTCATGCAGCGTCCCTCAACCTCTGTGTAACTAGCCCGACACCGGACACATCGGACAGAGGTCAGATCTGGACACTCCGCTAACTCACAGTTACTGATGTTGTGGGCACAACCTGCAAATACAGAAGCAAAACATAAAGGGACATTAGTCTCCGGTCTTTTTTCAGTTCTTTCCCCGTTATGATGAGGATAAATTGTATCGTGCAAATGGTTAGGTCAATCTTCAGCTTGTTTTTCTCTTAAATTATAACTTTCGAGATTTTACCTTTTTGAAAGTAAATATACGAGACAATACGAGACACACTTCTGACTGCCATAGTTCCATTATAACAGTGTCCCAAATAGTTCATTTATGGGGGCCATATTTTACTCACACATTCACACAACATTGACATATATGGCAATAATGTTTACAAGCGGAACTAGTATTTTACGAGTGGTAGTATGCTTCCTGTAAGACGCTGTGTGGCAAAATTAATCTGGCTGTGGTTTGTGGGCGGCTGTGACCTGCGTGATATACACACACTGCAGTATATGATTGAGGTTGTAATTGCCATCATGATGTTACTTTTCACAGATTTATTAGTACATATAGAAGCCATGATTCTATATTCAATCATTATATGATTACGCGCCTGGAAGCTACTTGGGTCTAGCCTATTTTAAGTAAAGGCCTGGAAACCTGATCCTATGAAGGTTCAACTTTGTCAGTTATCATTTCCACCTTGACAGGTAAATTTAAGTTTTACTTGTTTAAACTGATACCTGTTGGAGTCGGAAGATGTGGAAGAGTCCGGTCTGTTGATGATGCTGCCATTGATGGAGTGACTTCATTTGTGTTTGACAGAACATCACAGTACATTCCTGAATAACAGAATATTTACTTAATGGTATTAACAAAACCCAAAACACAAAGAGCAATTAATATAACGTCACAACTGGCGTAAGAACGTAAAAACATTGATGTAAAACGGCACGTTCCTTGATTCTGACATGGGTTCTTTGTACAGGGATTGGTCTCGCAATGTGTACCATTAAATCCAGCTTTACAGGAACAGGTGACCTTTGATCCAGTAAAACGGCACGTTCCTTGATTCTGACATGGGTTCTTTGTACAGGGAGTGGTCTCACAACGTATACCATGAGATCCAGCTTTACAGGAACAGGTGGCTATCGATCCAACAACATGACACGTTCCTTGATTCTGACATGGATTCTTTGTACAGGGATTGGTCTCACAACGTATACCATGAGATCCAGCTTTACAGGAACAGGTGGCTATCGATCCAACAACATGACACGTTCCTTGGTTCTGACATGGATTCTTTGTACAAGGTGTGGTCTCACAATGTACACCACTAAATCCAGATGGACAGGAACAGTTGAATGTTGACCCTACTAGAACACACATTCCTCCGTTGTGGCAGGCAACGTTGTGGCACGGTGTTTGTTGGCAAGCACTTCCGGTATAGCCTGAAAATTACAGAGATAGCATCTAGTTGCTAGCATATTCCATTTGCATAACTTAAATAATTAAGATTTTAACATGTGAGTAGATTTATAGAGTTAAACAAAATATATGCATGCATCGTACACACATGTGATGTGATGACTTACTTTAAATATATCTAGCTTTTCCACTATGCTTGTAAAGGTAAACAATAAAAGAGACCGACTATGCGTTATTGAACACTGACAACATTGTACTAGTTTAAAGTCTGACATAATGACTGTAGATTCTAAATCCCCAGTCTCTAGAAGATTAATTGTGGTGTCACTTTACGTCCTGAATAATCTTTGTAAATAATCATGTTGTAGAAAGCCTTGTTTCAATTTGTTTCTTAGATGTCCTAAGTGATGCCATCACTTTCCAGTTAGTATTAAGTTCACTGAGGGATGAATGACGCCCATTGATGCACGGTTTTACAAACACGTGATATGTCGAGATACGCAATATATTCGTACAAAATATAGCAATCATGGTCGTTTCCGGTTGCTAAGTTTTACATACATTGTCTGATTTTAGTTTTCATTAAAACATATCGCAGCTTCTGTGGACTGGAGATGATATGGACATAAGGTGAAGAAGATGGCAGGTGTGTGCTCTACTTCCTAGACAATCTCTAAGATGGGTTCACATCTTGTACATTAACATTGATTTAGATATGTGCAGATCTATCCCCTAGAGCACTGAGACGGTGGCTGTACAGTGCAACCCTTAGACACTGACAAAAGGATTAACGAAGGGATCAAAATGTGTAGCGCTATCTATGCCTGTTGTACCAAACAAATATCACATTTTCACGATAACATGCTATACGCGCGATTCAAAGTACGTGAAAGACATCCCTGGATAGCCTTACATATTTTAATTAAGTGTTAAAGAAGTGCGAGGCTTTCTCAGTGTCTAGTACAATACATCTGAGGTAAGAACTTCGTTTTTAAGAAACGTTAATGTCGATGGCATGTTCAGTTGTCTGCATGCCTGTCTTTAGTTCAGGTGTAACTTGACTTTGTGTAACATACCTTTAATGCAGTGTTTTAACCCGTCCGGGTCACATGTGTAGTGGTCAGCTGACCCTGGGTTACACAGGACAGAACAGTTCGGTCCATAGTAGTGGGGGTCACAGGTCACAGTGATGGTCAGTGTCAATCTGCAATGTGGAGTCACCCATATTGACATTTCTTGTAGTGGCAGATATTGATGTACAAGGTATAAGTCGTTCCTGAACATGTTTACACATGACAATTCAAAATGTCATGGCAAAAGAATATATAGTATCTGCTCTAAGAGTTTCAGTCGGACGTTAAAGGCAGACTTAAGAAGAAAATGTTTTGAATGGATAAAACATAATGTTAAAATCTGTGTAAGATAGACCTCTTTATATAGATGTAGAGTGGGATACAGAGCGAGACGAGAACACTCTTAGGGCAAATATTGCTGTAGTCACGCACCTTGCATTGCTGTCGGTAAGGTTGACGGTGCCACCATTGTGAAACGGCGGTAGAGGGGTCTTCAAGTCATCCAGAGGAAGAGGTGTTGATGACAACCAGTAATCATCATCCACTTTGACCTCAACCTCCGCACCTGTCTGAACAAATACAATTTCTGTTTGATTACTTTGTTAACCAGTATGATGTAGTTTCAACTCGATCATCCTCGTTTTGCATGTTCTAATGTGCATGAGTAGGTATTTTTGCCGTTAATATGTTACAAGGAATGTGTGAAACCAGGGATTTCGCGTAAACTTGTCCAGGTGTATCGTTTTTAACCGCTAAAACCTGCCTTAATATTCCTAAAAAGCGGCAAATTTGTATACAACTTTCTTTGATTGGCATTGTAGAAGTTGGGTAGATGAAGAATGAGGACTATTTTTATGGATATACAACTTCTTTAGTCTATATAGGCGACGTTTCGACATAGACTCTAATGTCGTTGTCAAGCAAGTGTTACATGGGAAGTAATTTGGGTGATATATACTAGCCACATAAAAAAACTGTGCACACAGAAAATGCCTTCATAATTGAAATACAACACAGCAAAGACGAAATGATGTAGACACGTTATAAGCTGAAGTATCTGACCAAAGAAAATGTCAAAAGAACATGAACAATATCCGTAACGATGACGTCAGAAGTTCAAAGGCTAGCAAATGAGCATTGAAGGACTGAGGAATGGTCTGGGACGTGGTCACTGCTGTCTGGAACCTGTATCTGAGATGAGTCACCCGATTCCATCTGTCCTGTCTTGGCGTCGTTACGTCGGGAACGCCCTGAACGTGGGTGGTCGGCGACGTCATTACTGTTTCGATAACGCCTGACCAATGCAGATATCGTGTTACGATGGCATTGGAAATGTGCTGCCACCTGTTGTTGGCTCATTCCTGCTCGAACCATTCCAATGGTTTAATGACGTTGAGCACATGTTAATCTTGGCATGATGTGCAAGTATCTTCTCATGTGAATTGGTGAACGTTTGAATGACCAAAGATCAAGCTTTCGACAGTGACAGCAATTTCAGAGTTTCACATTTTGTGTGCATCTGTACGGGATGCACGTGCTGTAACAAATTGCAAGGCCTCAGGACACCGCCAATGACGTCACGTCGCCTGGCACGTGCATGAGCGTTTGATTGTCTCCAGTACTTGCTGTGTTCACAAATGTATAATTTATGTATAAATACGCTGTGTGCCTATATTTCTATTTTCTGTGTGCACTGTTTCTTTATGTGGCCAGTATATATGCATGGGATGTTTGTACAATAGATGAGGGATGAGGCGAAAATGAGTTGTTTATACAATAGGAGAGGTTGATAACACAGGATTAAGTAGGTTGAAAGGAAGCCAGTAAAGAACATGTACATGGTTGTATACATAAGAGATTAAGGATGTTGATGGGCAGCCAACAGGGAATGATGTCCATAGGTTGTTTACATAAGTGATATAAGGACTCTTGGGAAGCCAGTAGTGAAGTGATGTTTACACAATGGATAATGTACAGTGTTACACAATGGATATTGTACAATGGTTGAGTGGGGTTACATTAGATTAATTGAGCAAGTGATGATAGGCCTTGGGGATGAAATATCCTTCATCTCTGTTGATGGCTGAACAAATGGACAAATCTTCTTTATGTGGACAGCTTCAAGTAGTTTTCGGGTTTTTAAATCAGGCTGGTCCTCTCGATGACTTTGGTGGTGTTCCAACTGATGTTGTGGTTTGGGTTGGCTTTAAGGTGGTCGGTTATGGCGGAGTTAGAGTCTGTTTCTTACAGAGGCCTGGTGTTCTTTGATCCTAATGGATCTGGCTTCTTTGCCACAGGCAGACCCACCCCGGCAAAGAAGCCAGATCCTGCAGGTGTCGTCTACCAGACAGAATGCGACTGCAGCGAATCCTATATTGGTGAAACATCAAGTCACCATTACTTTTAAGCATAAACAGATTAGGCCATTGGGAAGGAAAGGGTATTTTTCAAAGCACATATTTCATGTTTGTCCTCAGCGTCTTCTCTCTACGAATGATGTGACAATGGACAAAGAACTGTTCCTCCACACAGCTGTGATTTTCGAGTCGAATTGTGGTGGTCAGGGTTTCCAGAAATGTAACTGTGGTCCTAACCAATGTAAATCGATACGTTGTAAATGTTGTAAAGTGCTACTGAAGTGTAATAACTTGTATGACAACAGCCTATCTTGTCCAAACAAATGAATTTTATCAGCATATACTCTGTACTCGCATTATAAATTTGGTGTTCTCTATTTCAATAAAGCCTTACAGGGATTTCATGAAATCCCTGAGCTAATATTTCAGTAACTTCATGAAATCCCTGGAAATTTTAGGGAATACATGAAATCCCTAGGAATAACAGGGATTTCATAAAATCACTGACTCTGGATTTAGGGTTTATGTGAAATCCCTGGTTTCACACATTCCCTGTAACGATGTCACTAGTTAAATAGCTTCACTACTGACTTTTAAGCGACATGACCAGTTAGTTAAATGTACCTGTAAGGTAGTGAACGACTTGAGAATGGGATTGGCTATCCCGCCATTAATGTTCGTCCCAAATGCGACGTCCCTCGTGCCCTTGTACTGGTCACTCGTCTTTGTGCAGGAACTGTTATATAATCATGAGGCTCTGTCACACCCTTCCCGTGCATATAGGATAATATACGATTTGTGCTGATTCCATCTGATGTGATGAAATACCTGAATTATGATGTACCTGAGACCTGTGCGCGGCATATCTTAATTCGAAAGTGGTACATGTTCAATCTATACCTCATAAGAACAACCTCTATTTTGCACCATTGTACATCTTCACCAGTGTTAAATTATATAGTTAATATGCATTAACCATAAATAGTCTTTCAATGATTGTAGACAATGGATTTAATCGAACGTCAAACTTGTTCGCCTTCAGAGTAGACTTTGATGTGTGGTAAAACCACTTACTCTTTGCCGGACAACCCCTTGAAACAGACGGTGAACATTAGGCTACAGGGATGAGCAGATTCAAAAAGGCTTTCTTTGCATCCTTTGAAATATGCTTCACACCTTGGCTTCAGTATGTGCATAAATAAATTCACTCTTGTCAATATGTAAGAGTCACCTTGTTTCTGTCAGAAAAGGACGTAAATTTAAGTTTCATCCGTGGACCACCTTTTTTGTACACTGTTTATGGTTACCGATGGAGAATGCATAGAATGTAACATGCATAACATAGTACTATTTCAAGTGTAGATGTAAACGTAATGGCTTAAATAGCTTCAGTACTGAATTTTCAGCAACACAAAGATCGCTAAATTTACCTGGAACGCGGTTAACGACTTGACGATGGGGTTGGTTATCCCGCCATTAATGCTCGTCCCAAATTTGACATCCCTCGTGCCCTTGTACTGGTCACTCGTCTTTGTACAGGAACTGTGACAAAATCATGAGACACCTTCACACTCTCAAAATACGATCGGTTGTTGTCGGTCATAATTGGGAAGTCGTACATTTACAATAGTCTGTACCTGACGAAAAGCGCCTCTTTTTACCATCTTCAGCAACGTCAGTGTATATAGTAAAATATGCGTTAGATGACTTTTTCCTAATGATTGTAGACAATGGCTAGTAGAACTTCAAGGTTGTTTACCAAGTTCAGATTAGACTTTGATGTGTAGTAAAACCACTTACTCTTTGCCGGACAACCCCTTGAAACAGACGGTGAACATTAGGTCACAGGGATTAGATGAGAACAAGCTTCCATTGCATCCTGTATCTGATGACCTGTGATACTCCAGCAGATGTACAGAGACACGCCCGCTGCTGGTACTGGGCTGTCGGGGAGTGAGGTTTGCATATGATTAGATGCAGAATTAGATGTACACAATTTAAAAAATTAAAAACAGCATTCGACATTGATACCGAACAGAAAAATGTTACCTATTTACTTACCTTAAACAAATAAACAAACAAGAAAATCACAACAAGCATGTAGCTCAAACTCCACATGATGCTTTTGGGTTGTAGACAACTGGATACCCCCTCCTCTGTTTGCTGATGTCCAGAAATGTAATACTGGTTTGCCCACCTAAATGGATAACATATATGCACCTCCTTATTTTTCCCCCCACTCGTTTTAAATTAACACCAAAGGTACAACACAATAGGTTTGTCTTCTACTTCTGCATCTATCAACAATTGATGTTATCGTTGAGTGTCATTATCACTTGGTTCAGTACAGTATGAGATAACCCTGAGATATCAATGGAATACTGTAAGGGACATTCTCGCGATCTCGCATTCTCGTGTTTTTGGTACATAGCACTTTTTGTCAAAAGTCGACAACGCGAGAATGCGACATTTGCACATGCTGTCAAATCTCGCTTGGCTCGTCACGCCGAAGACCCGGGTTCGATTCCCCACATGGGCACACTGTGTTAAGCCCATTTCTGGTGTCCCCCGCCGTGATATTGCTGGAATATTGCTAAAAGCGGCGTAAAACTAAACTCAGTCAGTCAGTCAGTCAAATCTCGCAATCTCGCATTCTCGCACTTTGGGCATTTTTAGCTTGTTTCCAAAGGTCGAGACCGCAAGAATGCGAGATCGCGAGAATGTCCCTTACAGTATTCCACAGATATCAGTGTGTATGTCACAACAGTTGCATGTAGATTACAGTAATTAGCAAGTTCTAACAAGCTTGACGATAGAATCCTGGTTCCCACTTGCTACGTCACCAGGGTGCTGTTCCACTAGCCGATCTTATCTAAGATCAATCTTAGCAAGTTACGCCAATTTTACAATTGTCTTTGCTAAAAGTTACGCCCGTTCCACTAACCGATCTTAGGCCGATCGTAGCCGATCCCGATCTTACGATCCGATTGTAGCTAAGATCGAGATTCTTTCGTGCGAGAGATAGAAAAATGCGAGGCACGAGTTATTTCCCTTTGCATAGTCTAGCAGTTTTGGAACCATGTGTAAAGGAAGAGAAGAAACCTCGAGCGAAAAAGAGCAGTTTTACGGTAGAGAGCATTTTGGTTTCAGGGGCAAGTGCGCGTGAACGCTGGGTATTTGGCATACCCATGTGGCTGAACCTTATCGATCAGCATAAACAAGGCGTGACGATGCATCCTGGACCTCGCCAAAATCACATCATCTGATAATGTATCTAGAATCTATGAGCGGTCTCGAAAAACACGCTCACAGTGTAATGCTCGCTCTTCTTCTTCACATAGAATAATGTTTTGGTTTCTTTACGATTGATTTTGGCGATCCTAAGTTGGTCAACTTAGACTCTGGATCTTAACTTTACGATTGACTTAGGGTAAGATCGGTTAGTGGAACGGTATGCCGATCGAAGAGATGCACGCCTCCTCAATTTTAGCGGTTTGCGCTTGGCGTGGGGCAATCCATCGGTTATTCTTACTTATCCAAATCTTCGCGGATAGCTTGGGTGGACAATCCAACTTATTCTTACTTATCCAAATCTTCTTCCTCTAACTTATTCTTACTTATCCAAAACTTCTTCCTCTAACACAGCCATTTAATGCCATGACGCAGCTACTGATGTTCCTGTGGACCGAGCAAGCAACATCAGATGAACATGAAAACACTTAAGATAATGGAATTATTCATGTTGTGATTCGCTGGGTGAATTTATTAACTAGCCTTCACGAAATGAACCCGTGTAGATCCGGGTTAGAAGTGATCTTCAGTAACTTCAGTAACGCCATATAGCTGGAATGTTGCTGACTGCGACGTAAAACTAAACTCACTCACTCACGAAATGATATGATCATTAAGCAATATCAATCACACATGGTACTATCTAGCGCTACCAAACCGAACAGTACTGTGGGATCTGAGATTGATCACTCTATAAAGAAACACTACCATTTGGGAAGTTATCCTCAATGTTAACTTAGGTTCCTTGGTAAAGACATGAACGTTATGGTAGATGGGTGAATGTAGATATTTGATAGTTGGCGGTTGTGTCAGGGTATCTTTGTGCCTTCCTCCTTCCCCAAAACACTTGCCTGTATCATTATGAAGTACCCTGTGTATCCATTTTACACTGCCACTCACTATCCCGGATAAGGAAACCAACTTCTAATGTATGTATCAGTAATTAGGGCTGTAACGATGGATCGAACTATCGAAGCAATGGCAATTAGTCGATGGTAGAAACGAAAAATTGTCGATGCATCGATAGTATGTGTGACTATCGATAGTTTAGTAATTGACTTCCGTTGATAAATGCGCAGCGCAAAATATAGGATTTTTGGACGCAGACTGGCAGCTTCGTTGAGTTTATGTTTTAATTGTTTACTTGATCTGGGTTTCAAGTTTCTTGTCAGTTATTAAAATAGACTTAAACTATTTCAACTTGCTTTTATTTCATATAACCTATGCATTCATTTGGGAAATGACTTCAAATGAGACAATTCAAGGAGAGAAAAACTATTGCAATACTTGTTGCAATAGAGAATATCGCTATCGCAATAGTATGTTGCAATAGACTATCGCTGTCGCAATAATAGTATGTTGCAATAGACTATCGCTGTCGCAATAGTATGTTGCAATAGACTATCGCTGTCGCAATAGTATGTTGCAATAGACTATCGCTGTCGCAATAGTATGTTGCAATAGACTATCGCTTTCGCAATAGTATGTTGCAATAGACTATCGCTGTCGCAATAGTATGTTGCAATAGACTATCGCTAGTCGCAATGCTGTCGCTGTCGCAATAGTATGTTGCAATAAACTATCGCTGTCGCAATAGTATGTTGCAATAGACTATCGCTGTCGCAATAGTATGTTGCAATAGACTATCGCTGTCGCAATAGTATGTTGCAATAGACTATCGCTGTCGCAACAGTATGTTGCAATAAACTATCGCTGTCGCAATAGTATGTTGCAATAGACTATCGCTGTCGCAATAGTATGTTGCAATAGACTATCGCTGTCGCAATAGTATGTTGCAATAAACTATCGCTGTCGCAATAGTATGTTGCAATAGACTATCGCTGTCGCAATAGTATGTTGCAATAGACTATCGCTGTCGCAATAGTATGTTGCAATAGACTATCGCTGTTGCAACAGTATGTTGCAATAAACTATCGCTGTCGCAATAGTATGTTGCAATAGACTATCGCTGTCGCAATAGTATGTTGCAATAGACTATCGCTGTCGCAATAGTATGTTGCAATAGACTATCGCTGTCGCAATAGAATGTTGCAATAGACTATCGCTGTCGCAATAGTATGTTGCAATAGACTATCGCTGTCGCAATAATTGTTCCCCCTTCATCAGTCGCAATAGTAATATTGACACAACGACCCAAGTTTCAAAGAACTGTACACGTGTTTATTTGAAACAAACGAAGTAAAGGGACACATTGATTAATTGTTGAAAGTGCATTGTTCTGTTAGACAAGATCTACAAACATATGAGTTGTGAAAAGCCATGAAATCCAGTTACTATTTAAATAAATTACATCCCTTTGTCCAATCCACTCCAATCTGTTTATTCAGTACTAAAGAGGCCACAGACCTGTAGTACATTTACAATATGCATACGGTAGAATATAAGCAATCATTAACGTGGATTTTACATAAATCAGCTAAGACATGACAGTCTTTCTATAGTTTAATGCATTGAATATAAATGCTGATACATTTCGTAGAGTTAAAGAATTGTACGCACTCAGTAGATCAATAAATTTGTGACTGTTTGGGTGTCTGTCATAGTAATTAGACAGATAGTCGGATACGCTGCGTAACGGCAGAACCATCTGAGTGTGGCTAAAGTACTACCTTTTAGATTTAGCATTGTCAGAACACAAAAAGAGTGTTACGAAAATGAGATATATATTACTCGCAATCGCAATAATTTGTAAAAGCATCTTTCCTATTTCTATTAATAATTTTTTTGCAAATTTAGTGTGTTGTTTTCATATTTTCACTTCCATGTTTGAAACAATGACTGATTTCTAGTTCGACCCAAACAGGGTTGTCACTGTTGGTTGTCACTATCAACTAAACAGATAAGACATCAGCACATAGTACTGATTATCAGTCCTTGACAACCGTCACTAAATGATTACCTGTGTTAGTAATCAGCTCGAGGTTTCGAGGTTTGTAGGTTCCCATCTATCACATATGCGACTTTGTACCATATACAGTGTAGTCTGTCTGTAGTGTTATAACCATACTGATAATTGATAGTTAAGATAGTGTTTTTTCACAATATAAAGGCCAGAGGCTCGTGTACAGTATATATACATGCATTCTATATAGAGTGTTGCTACAATAACCAGAGTTTGTAATGTATCAAGCGCATAAAGACAAGGTTGTGCTAAAGTTATCAGAGAATAATCATTATTCATGTTAGTGTTAGCAAAAATGCCTAGGTGTCTTAAAAGGTTATTAATTTTGCACACTAACATATATACTGAACAGCAAAAGAAACGCAAGTTTCGAAAAAAATAAATCTGATAAAGAAAGGTGTTCATGTTTACGGAACGTTTATAGTAAAGTGACGTAATGATCCCAGATGAGATGATGTCATGCGATTTGACGTCCATACGAAACATTCGCACACAGCAAAACGATGCCTAGACTAACGACTGAGCGGAGGGGAATGGTCATTGGAAAGTTGCACGGAGGTAGCTCATCAAACCGCTGTAGCTAGGCAATAGGGCTATCATCTTACCACCATTACACGACTTGCTCAACGTCATCAGCAAACCGGGGTTGCTGTCTGATCGTCCCCGTACAGGACGACCACGAGCGACAACTCATGCACAAGATCGGTTCATCCGGGTCACTCATCTAAGGTACCGAACTCAAGCAGCAACAGTAACAGCAGCCTTAGTTCATGGGTCAAGGGGAGCAGTGTCCAGCGATACGATTAGGCGTCGTCTACGGGCTGCTGGAATCCACTGCCGACGGCCATATGTGGGGCCAATTTTGACACATCTACAAGTCTACAACCCTCACACAGCAAGGGTGTCGATGGATTATCTGGCTCAGAACAACATTAACGTTCTTCAATGACCGTCTCTTTCCCCGGATAGGGCTCCCATTGAACATGTCTGGGACGACATTGGACGTAGGATTGCTGCAGGTGTACAGCCACTCACACTTGCACAGTTGGAACAGAGATTGGTGTTTGAGTGGAACCACTTGCCTCAGGCATTC